TTTTTTTATTTCATGTTATTGAATTGCAGGTGGCAAAGATCCTTATTACCTTACCTTGAAAATACACCATGATGGGGTTATAATGGATGATACAACTCCAGGAAATCAGAGGTATGTGGGAGGAGAGATTAGTGCATTTGACTATGTGGACAAACATAAGATTAACATGGGTGACTTGTGTAGATTCTGTGAAGAGTTGGGTTATGGTGGAGTGAAAAGGTTTTACAGGTTTGACTCTTTCAAAAAGTTCAGGGAGATAACCATGGAAACAGATTTGTTATTGACTATTGATAGGCATCAGAAGAGAGAAGTCCACATATGGTTAGATGCTGAGAAAACAAGAAATAGCAGTGTAGGTGATGGGGGTGTTCTTGTAGCTGATGGGGGTGTTCCTGTAGGTGATGGAGGTGTTCTTGTAGGTGATGGAGATGAAGGTTTGCATGTAGGTGATGGAGATATGAGTGTGCCTGTAGTTGATGCAGATATGAGTGTGCTTGTACATGATGAAGATGAGGTGGACCAATCTGAAGATGAGGACTTTTGTGCAAGTAAGGACAGTGACAGTGGTTTTGATGATATCCTTTTTGAAGAATATGTTGAGGCAGAGGAGTGTGTGGAAGGTCCTAAACAGAAAGAGAACCACCAAGATGAGATTGATGATGAAATGTCCACTGACAGTGCCAGTTCCAATTCCAAGTGCACAGAGGATAGTAGTCATGATGATTTCTCTAGTTGCAATGAGTCAGATGAAAAAAATGGGGAAAATGACAAAAATGATAGTAATGTCTTCAGTGAGAAGCATATTAACAATTCAAAGTTTGAACTTGGCCAGAAGTTTCCCTCCAATAAGATCTTCAAACAAGCCATTGCTAACCATGGAGTGCTAACCCACAAAAGCTTGAAGTTTACCAAAAATGATAAAAGAAGAATTTATGTTAGGTGTTATAAAGAGCCAAATGGGTGTCCCAGGGAAATTAATGCCATTAAAGTGACCAATGAAGAAGCCTACATGATAAGATCTTACAATCACAAGCACTCTTGTGCAAGATCTTGGAAAGTGAAGAATTTGACATCAAGATGGATTGCAGACAAATATGAAAAAGCATTCAGAAGTGATCCTGAAAGATCACTCAAGGGTTTCAGGACAGATGCAATTGGTGATCTAAGGTGCCATGTATCCAAGAACAAGGCATTCAGAGCCAAACAATTGCTTTGAAGGCAATTGAGGGTGACCATGCAGACCAATATGCCAAAATGTGGGATTATGCTGAAACATTGAGAGAGAAAAATCCTGGAAGCACCATCCTGTTGACACTTACAGATGTCCCTGGTCCTGATGGACAGAAAAAGTTAGAAAAAATCTACATTTGCTTAGCCCCATTGAAGGCTGGATTTATTTCTGGATGTAGAAAGTTAATTGGAGTTGATGGTTGCCATTTGAAGAATAGGCATGGTGGAATTCTGCTCATAGCTGTTGGGGTAGATCCTTCTAACAATCCATATCTTGTGGCATATGCAGTTGTTGGGGGAGAAACTAAAGATTCTTGGTCCTGGTTTCTCAGGAATTTGAAGGTGGATTTGGATATTGTTAATGAAGAGGAGTGGACATTTATATTTGACAAACAGAAGGGCCTAATTCCTACATTTGAAGATGTGTTTCCCAGGTCTCATAATTTTGTGTGAAACATTTACATGCCAACATGCAGACAACTGGGTTCAGAGGACTTGCATTTAAGAAGGCTTTATGGAAAGCAGCCAAAACAACAACAGTTCCTGAATTTAACGAGGCAATGAAAAGGGTTGGGGAAATTGACTCAAAATGTAAGGAATGGCTTGAAGAAAAACCTGCACAACAGTGGTCAAAATCCCATTTCACCACTTGTGTTAAATCAGACATGTTGCTGAATAACATATGTGAGGTGTTCAATAGTTGTATTCTAGAGGCCAGGGAGAAACCAATCTGATAGGTTGAAAAATGTGCGCGTTTTATATTTTTAATAGTGTATTTTTATATACTTAATTTATTCGCACGTTTATATGTTTCGGCTTATTTATTATTTGGATGGATTCATTTTCTTTTATTATTTTATATTTATTTTCATTTTATTGGAGTAACTTGAGGACACGACGCATTGTATGAAAGTTCACGCCATCAATTATCTGAGTTAGCCTAAGAATACATAAATTAGGCCAATTACATTCAATGGACTGGTCATATTTTCTTAAAGAAACAAATGGGCTTGGGTGAATTAAGCATTCACATGTAGGACTTTGATTTCGTTTGGGCTGGAGTTGTTTAATTAATTGCTTGGGAAAGAATTCTTTGAGAGGAAGCAAAACTCACGAAAGGAAAGAAAATACTTGGGGGCAAGGGAATTATTTATTGCTGGAAACCGCCACGCAAAGGGAGCACGAGAATTATTCACGGCAAACATAGAAAAAGAACGGAAGCAAGGCACGTACAAAGAGTAGAGACGCGAGAAGCTCGATCAATCGCGGAGGGAGACCGCACCCGTATACGAGAAGGATAATCTTATTCTTCTCTTTCTCTTTTATTTCGTATTTATTATGTTAGCTTAGATTTCATTTCTAGTTCCAGGGAAGTCGAACCCTACGATTGACTATGTTTTGATTGATTATATGGTTGATGATTTTAATATTGGAATTGCTTGTGTTATTTTGAATAATTAACTATGATGTGTTGAGTCTTATTTAGATTGATCACCTAGATTAGGCTTTATATATCTACACCTGAATTAGGCCTTCAATCCGTAATTGTTGATGTGTTTAATTCGTAAGTGGTATCCGGAAGATGGTAACTACCGGGGATAACACGGCCTATTTAAGTGAACGAATGCGGTTGAGTTCACTACTTAGTCTAACCTATTTTTCTAATTTGTAAAATGGCTGATTGTATTAAATCTAAGAAGCGTTTTCTAGATTGTACAAGAAGTCAGGTCTAATCGTAGAGCGTCTCGCGGGTAGATTGAAAATAAGGAAAAATTCGGGTAACAGACCGTGTCGTTGCCTAGAGCCAGTAATTTCATAAGATAACGAGATTTGATACCAAAGTTGATTAGACGAGTCAGTCGAGGGTGTAGACGGAACCGTGAACTAGAAAGTTCTCTTCATTTATTTATTTTTATTTTCATTGTTTAGATATTATTTTCTTTATTAGGATTTTAGTTAATTTAGTTCTTAAATTCACCCTCCCCCCTCTTTTTATTGCTTTTATAGTTTCAATTAATACAAAATTAATCACAATTTGATTCACACTCCCTGTGGATTCGACCCTTACTCGCCGCTACTACAAGTTAGTAGAGGTTGGTTAAGGAAAAATATAAATTATAATTTTGCCAAGTTGCGACGCGCGGTCACAATCCTAACAATGCTTGAGTGGGTAAGGCAATATTTGATGAGTAGGCTGCAAGAGAATATGGACATGGCTGAGAGAAAGTGGGAGGGTAAGAAGACATGTCCTAAGATCAGAAAAATTGTGGATAGTCATAAAAACAAGTCCTATGATTGCATACCAATCAAATCCACTGATTGGGTTTATCAGCTGGATTGTAGTGGTGGTGACAGACACATTGTGAACTTGAAGGACAAAACATGTAGCTGCATGAAATGGGATTTGACTAGGATTCCTTGCAAGCATACATGTAGTGCATTATTTGCACAAGGGCAACAACCAGTGGACTTTGTGGATGACTGTTATTCATGTGAAACCTATGCCAAAGTGTATGAAATAGCCATTAATCCAATATCTGGAACTAATCTGTGGGATAGGACATGATACATTCTTCCATTGCCTCCAAATTTTGGAAGAAGAAAAAGGGGCAAGCCTGTGAGAGAGAGAAGGATGGAAGATGGTGAAGATAAGGGTGGTGGTAAAAAGAAAAAAACAAAATTTAGACAGACAATTCAAAAGCAAAAGGGGTAGATGACTTGTAAGTTTTGTCATCAAAAGAGGCATAATCAAAGAACTTATGAGTGGAAGAAGTTGGCTGAAAATGGACCTCAAGATGGTGCATTTGACATGGGAGCTGAAGCTGAGGAGTTGACTCAAGGAGATGGGTTCCCATCTACATCCCTCTTTTCTGAAAGTCATCCTCAATCCCAAATGAATGTGAGTTACTTATGTCTTGTTTTATTTTAATGTCTATGTATTCCTTTTATATTGTTTCTTTTATGAAATCAAAGGTTGGTTGGTTTTTGTTTTTGTTATATAGGCAACAACATCAAATGGAGCAAGAAAAGGCACTTAAGAGACTGCTTCTTCAAGTCATCTAAAGCCATAAGTCCTCTATTCATTTCTATGAAATATTGCAGTTTCTTGTTTTTGGAGTATTATGTTTGGTTATGTTTTGTGAATATTTTTGGAACTTGGAACTTTGTGTGTTGTGAACAATGCATATAGCATTACTGGTGGCTTCTTTTGATCTTTTGGCTTCTTTTGAACTTGAGTATGAACAATTGTGGTGATTGTAGTGCTGCTCCTTTTGGTGATTCTTTTGGTGTTGAATTGGTATGAACAATGGGTTGAATTCAATGGGCAGTGGTGCTTTTTGGAATTAATTTTGTTGCTGCTTTTTTTTTTTGATTTGGTATGCCCAATGGTGCT